TAACCATCTTTTAAATTTAAAATTTTATAATTAGATATAAAAATAGATTTTGAGATAATCCTAAAAATATTTTACTTAAAATTATAAAGGATGATAAAATTTGACGGTGCACCTTACATCTATAGCTACAGATGCATCCGTTTGCCAACTGTACCCCGACCAAAATTAATTCACATTGATCAACTAAAAAGTCATCTGCATATCTTCCAAACACAGACACTCTTACCCAAGAATCGACTTGAACTGCTTACTATAGCAAAACTTAAACATGGATACAAGAAAATTAACAGGCATAATGATCTCTGTCAACATGAATACAATAAAATTACCAGGTCTAATTCTCTCTCTCTACATGGATACAACTAAATTAAAAGGCTTAATAATCTCTCGGGGCCTACTAATCTCTCTTTCTCTCTCTCTTCCTCAGAGTCAACTTTGAAGTACTACCCTAGAAAACATTTGAAACATGGACAAGAATAACTGGCCTATAGCGTACATAATAAATTATGACTTTTTGTTTTATTTGCTTTATGCTCTCTCTCTCTCTCTCTCTCTCTCTCATGTAAGCATGGACAATACAGAATGATCAGGCCTGGCTGTTTAGAGGTCCCTGTCTCCCTCTCTTTCTCTCACTCATTCATGTCTCAAATGAGATAGGAACACCTTGCTTCTTATTGACAATGGCCATCGCTTGATAGCGAGAACCCATACCAAAGGGGGTGAGCTCAAAAGGTCCCTCCCAAAATGGGGCTTCGCCATCTCCCACCAATCTCCAATAGCCTGTCCTCAAAGACTCAGCTTGCTCGTCTGTGCAATTTTCTAGAAGTGCCTCCACTCTGAAGTTTATACCAAGAGCCCCCAGGAATTTGGATTGAGAAATTGGACCATACACAGATACATTCTCTGCAAAACCCAATTGTCTCAAGTACTAATCATGGAAAACAAATTGTAGATCGTGTCACAGAGAGAGAGAGAGAGAGAGAGAGAGTGAGAGAGAGAGAGAGAGAGAGGGCGGGGGGTGTTGTTGGGTTGGAGGGCGGAAGGTTTCACCTGAAGCCTCTTCTGCAGAATGCCTGACTAAAGGGAAATCAACATAAGCACTAAGGTCGGCAGTTCCGGGACCATCTAGAATGTTCACAAATTTGTGTTTCCGTATTGCCTGCATAAACAAGAAAATTCATCTCAATGGGTAATATAATCTATGATCTAAGTTCAATAAGTCGATTCATTCAGTTCTCTGCCAAAATACTCCTAGAAGTATAATGGCTAAAAGAATAAAAAAAAATAGAAGCTATGCTCCAAATTCAACGAGAGAAGGACTCGGTCATCACGAATCACCCGACACGGATTTTTGTGAGTCTCCTTGTGCAATAAATGTCAATCTCTACAGTAGACATAAATAAAATGGTGGCTCCATTAAAAGGCAAAATGGATGCTAGACAAAAAAAATTGGAAAACACCACTTTTATTTTTCAGAAAAAAAAATCCAGATTTATGATCATCTTCATGGTTGAGAATAGCAAATCCTAAAATTTTGAATCCAAATGCACATAAATAGGTGAGTTGGCTCACTCACCAAATATTTTTCTATGAGAAAATTCATGATAGCAAAAAATTCATAAAATGATAGGAACGTACTCAGAAAGACTGCCCTTAGGCTTATCCCAAGTCTAATTTTATTCAATGCAATTTCTCACAGCATTTTAAGAAAGCAACTCAGAAATAATCTAGCCCTCAAAAACCTTCACTCGTTCAAATACATATCCTACTTGGTGAATTGAAGTTTAGCAACTCATGCTGAATTGTTTAACAATCAAAAAATAAGATTGAGATATTTATGCTGATATCCCAAAACATAATGCAGAAAAAGAACAAGTGATTTCAGTATTTGTGCCATGCACACACCACACATACATACAGAGAGAGAGAGAGAGAGAGAGAGAGAGAGAGAGAGAGAGAGAGAGAGAGAGAGAGAGAGTAGTACGTAGTAGTACGTAGTAGTAATAGTATAGTATACGTATACTAATACTAAGTAATACGTACGTACTACTACCTACCTACACGTACGTACGTCGTAC